TACAGAGTTGGCACTCCACAATATCTGTCCATCAGATGAAACGTGTGGCCTGACAGGAGGCTTCATGTTTGGTCATCTATCCACACAAGCCTCTGATGGCCCCATCTTAACTGAAATCCAAACTTTTAAGAGGTAGTCTCTTAATGGAGGCTGCTCTACCCCAGCCAGGGATGGCCCTTGTGTCCAGGGACCAGGGGACCCAGACGTCATCACTGAGAGGTGAGACCTAAGCCAGGCCTCCCCATTTTGCAGAGAACAAAGCTGAGGTCCTGTGTGACCAGGGCTGGCCTCAGGTCACACAGCAAATCAGAAGCAAACACCAGACCAGTTCCCAGGTCCCCTACTCCTTAGCCCAGGGCTCACTTCATCCTCTCCTCACCCCACCCCACCACCACCACCACCACCACCATGCTTGTATATCCTGAAGGGCTCCATGGGAGCTTCAATGAGGTGAGAGCTACAAGATGGTGCCCAAGAGACCATGGACAGTGAAGTCTTGGTGCAAGGCCCTGCCAGGGCCCCCATAATCAAGGGGTTCTCACCTTGATCCCTACCCAAAGACCCTACAGTTTTTCTTTGAGAGATTTAGTCATCTAACCTTTTATTTGAATGCCTGTGGTTCTGCCCTTACAGCCACAGGCTTTGGGGTTAAGCATTGCCCTCTGTAGAGGATCCTGGAGCTGGGGTGTGACACCGTAGGGGGGATGACCTGGTACACTCAATTCTTCCTCTGGCAGAAGAGGCAGTCAGGCCCTGAAGTCCTTGTAGGAGAGAGATCCTGGTAGAAGAGAAGGATCCTTAAGGAGGAAGTTTTAGATGAGAGGTAGGGAAATGGCATTCAGTAACTGTGTGAGCAGAGGGGGTGGGGGACTAGACACAAAGCCCAGTGAGCTATGCACACTCCCAAGGCAGAGACCAAGGGGCAGGAATCAGTGATCAAGGGCCAGAAGAAAGCTGGGGTCTGACACAGGGAGTGTTGACTGAATTTGGACTTTGGAGAGTTTTGGAGAGTGTCTGAGCTGAGGGACAGTGGTCAGAGCTGAAAGTGGGGCACAGAATGAAGGAGGGCCCGAAGGAGAGGTTGATGTCCCATCTACTTCTGGGGCCTGGAGGACCGCCTGGGGCTCATCTGAGGCTGGGCAGGGGGCTGAGCCTTATGTTGTCCACTGAGTTATGGCTAAAGGTCACTTCCCTGGCTTCCTCCTCCTCCCTCCCTCCCAGTGCAAAGCCGCCAGCTCCCTGCAATGATGGGAGTGATTAGATTAGAAGGTGATTTTGGGGTCTGATTATCTTGGGTGGAAATTGGCCCCCTGTGTCTTTTTCCATCCCACCTAGAGCTGGGGAGGTGGGGAGCAGTACTTCCATTGCCACCCAGGCAGAACAGACTTTCACAAATGTGTTTGAGATTAGGGTGTGAAGACCTTGTTTCCTGGATGGACAGATGACAAAGATGGTCTCTATCCACTTCAGACAGGAAAGTTCAAAGCCTGGCTCTGCCCCTCACCAGCTGTGACTCTGGGCAAGCCATTTCTTCCTGAATCTCAGCTTCCTCCTCCATAAACTGAGGGTCAGTGTGAGGACTCAGAGATGACTGCTATGAGGGGCTTAGCACACTGCCTGCTCAGAGCAAGTGTCCTCCAGAAGGTAGTGCCAGTACCCGCAGTGCTGTCTGCACTCTGAATGCATGAAGTGTGTTCCTTCTTCACCTTTAAAGATCTACAATGACCCCACACCCACATGACCTCTCTGGGCCTCAGTATCCTCATGTATCTAACACTGTTGGTATTTAACAACTCCTCCTGACAGCCCACACACAAGCTGAGCTGGTGTACCAAGTTATATTATCCAGGGTCCCGTTACTGGGCCCTGGTTCTCCCTGTTTGTGTTCCTCAGGGGCCAGTTAGGCTGCAGGGTCTGCCTGTGATAGAAAGACACCAGGCCTGGGATGATTGGTCTAGAATCAGTGTCCAAGCTCATTCTGTGGTCCTCACTGTTCCCTGCCCAAAAAAAAGGCACTGTCCTTCTGTCCTGGGAATGGGCAACGAGCAAGCAGAAGAGCTCACGTCTGAGGATCTGGGTTCTGTTACAGATTGCCAGGTTTTATGACCCCCTGGGAACCTCATGACTTAGTTCACCCATTCATGGATGGACAAACTGACTTTTTCCTGCCTTAAAGGAACTTCCTGGAGTGTGTTTGTCTGCACTTTAAGATCCTTTGATACTGGAAGCCAAGGCTAGAACAGCACACACATGCACACATATGCGCACTTTCACACAGATACACGCACAATCTCACGATTGTTCAGATCTTGAAGGAAAGGGAAGGAGTGGGTGAAACGTCTTGGAAAGTAGAAATAGATTTCCTTGCTTTAAGGGAAGTACTTCCAGTCCTGACTTAGAACTTCTTAACACTTATTTTAGATACAATTCTAATGAGTTTGTTGACTTAGACTTCAAATCTGAAGCAAATTGGAAAACAAGGAGAAGGCTGTTAGAGTCAAGTTATCCTGATAATGTGGATAAGAGGCAATCAATCTTGAGAGGAAAGAAGGAAAAACTCTAAAAAGTAGAACTGGATTCTAGAAGCAAGTCATCAGGGCTGTTTAGTATCGGGGGTCAGCATCCATGGCCATCAGGCCCCTCAAACACTGTCTTGCAAACTCAACATAGTTCTTACTGTGCAGCCTGAGGACGGCCCAAGACTGCTTCTGGCCAGGACTGCATTCTGACTTCTCTATTGAAGAAAGAAGTATGTGCTGCATTGTAGAGAGCTTTCTACCCAGAGTGGTAAAAATTAAAATCGGGAGAAAGGGGGAATGGGCACCTAACTATTCTTTACTAAAGAGAGTGGCCACTGGCAGGACTGAGGGGGCCTCCCCAGGTGTGTCCTGAGCCTCTGCAGGTGACACCACTCTGTCCCAGTCAGTCCCAGGTGCCAACTCTCTATTTGTGAGTGGCCCATCTGTTCTAAGGAAGCTGCAGGAACCAGTAGCTATGTGTTTCCAACGCCACTGAGGATAAAGGGCCAGCAGCCTCCGATGTCAGGCCTGAGCTGTTGTAGCTGCTGTTCATTTCCTGTACTGGGTCCCAGCACCTTCGCTAGGGCCACCTTGTTTCCTCAGTGAGGCCACAGCTTCAGTGATGTCCGTTTTTCCTCATATTTTTCCAATTTTTTTTATCGTGATAAAATACACATAACATAAAATTGACCATTTTAACCATTTTTGAGTGTACAGTTCCATGACTTCCTGGTGTGTTCATATTGTTGTGCAGCCATCACCAGAACTTTTTTCATCTTGTAAAACTAAAACTGTACCCATTAAACACTATCTCAGCCCTCAGCCCCTCAGTAACCAGCATCCTACTTTCTGTCTCTGAATCTGACTACTCTAGGAGCCTCATGTAAATGGAATCAAATAGTATTTGTCTTTCTGTGACTGGCTTATTTCATTTAGAATTACCGGTATGTTCTCTAGGCTGATCCATGTGGTAGCATGTGTCATAACTCCCTTCCCTTTTAAGACTGAATAATATTTTATTACATAGAATTACCACTTTTGCAGGGGGTTACCTTTGCATTTTATCCTCATTCTGCAGGAGACTTCCTAAGTGGTCTTGGACAAGTTGTTCCCTGACCTGTACAGTGGAGGGGCCTGCCTTACACTAGCAACAAGACACTCTAGCCAAAACCGGTTTGGCTCAGTAGATAGACTGAAAGGTCCCAGGTTCAATTCTGGTCAAGGGCATGTACCTTGGTTGTGGGCACATCCCCAGTGTGTGTGTGTGTGTAGGGGGAGAGGGGACGGGCAGTGCAGGAGGCAGCTGATTGATGGCTCTCTCTCATCGATGTTTCTAACTCTCTATCCTTCTTCCTTCCCCTCTGTAAAAAAATCAATAAAATATATATTTTTAAAAAAGACACTCTAGTCAAACAAAAGCTGACACAGAAACCCCAAAAATAAAATTGGAGCCACTCTGATCAAAGGCCTGTCACCCCACCCACGCCACCCCCACAGCTGTTCTTGCTGCCCCCTGAAAAAAAAAATTCAGGGCCCTTTGAAACCCAGTTTAAAAAATCTAAAATTCCAGGAAAGAGGTTCTTAATTTTTCTTGCACCACAGACTCCTGGGGAAGTCCGGTATCATCGTGTGCCACCCCTACTTGGAATAATACTTTGAAATGCATAAAGCAAAATATACTGGGTGACAACGGAAGACAGTAAGATTGAAGTATTAGTTAAAGTAATAAAATGTGTGATATAGTGATATATGGGCTTTTTCATTAGCACACTGCATAACAAGATCAGCAGTCAGCTTAGTAACTTCCTTAATTTATAAAATAAGGGTGAGTATCATTCTGCAACAGCTGCCAAGCGATATGAAAAAACCTGTGATTCTTGTAACATGTGTGATGGTGTTGGGGCATTTGTTGCCTACATTACTAATAGGGGGGAAATGCTTCATTTCAGCTAGATGTTTATAAAACTAAAGATGTCATTATTTCACCCAATTTTACAGAGCCCTGAATTCTTTCACCAGATCTTTAAAGTGAGGGTGGTGCCCACTTTAAGCAGTCCTATAAAGGTGTTAGTTGGCATTTCTTTGCTAGTTATAGAATTAAGCAAAATGAGATCTCATTCTAGATAAATCATTAAGGAAAAAAGAGAGTGGTTTCTGCTTGGCCTATAAGGGTGAGAGAGAAGAGAAAGAGAGATAGAGGTAGGAGGGAATCTCCAAGAGAGCATGGCAAGTAGTAGGCCTGAGCTGTCGTCTGGAGGCCTGAGAACTGAGGTATAACAGTGTTTGAGCCCCAAGCCCATCACAGTGCTGTCCCCAAGTGAAATCATCCTAAAGGTTCATAGTTTGAATCTTAACTATGGGCAGTACCCTTGAACCTCAACAGGCAAATTGCCAGCAGACTTTGGATGGAATTCCTTCCACTCTTTTGGGGAGGGTACTTGGGCTGTGCAGTGGTAACTTGGCTTCCATCCCCTTCTCCAGGGACCCATGTGATGGAGGGCTCTGGACGGATGGTGGTGACCGCTGTGGGTGTGAACTCTCAGACTGGCATTATCTTTACCTTGCTGGGGGCCGGAGGTGAGGAGGAAGAGAAGAAAGACAAGAAAGGTAAGCCTACCCCGCTTGTGGACCAGGAGAGGAGTTCTTAAGGCCACTTTTTTGTTGTTGAATCATTCACTCCACAAAATAGTTATTGAGTGCCTTTTATGTCCATGCCCTGTGCCAACAGCCGCATCCTGCATCCTCAAAGCCCTGCTCATGCCAGGAGGGCTCTGTCTGTTCCATCTCCAGGGTCTTGTCCCAGTCTCTGTCTTGTCCAGTCATGTCATAGAAGCCCCTCCTCCTCCACCACTGGGCCAGGCCAAGGGTGCTGTGCATTTATTGAGTCTTCAGCCTTAAGCGTAACCTGGTCCCATCTGCACCCCATTTATCAAGTAGAAATCCCCACCTGGGCATATTTCTCCACCTTTCTCAACTCCACTGAGCAGAGTGTCAAACCCACTCATCATAGATTTTCCCCAGATGTGGGCAGAGAAGATTCTAGGGAAGGTGGTTCCAAGTCAACTACTTTGAGTCCCTCTCAGATGCCCTTGACACTTCCACCTCACTGGGTTCTGGCTCCTCCTCCCCTGGAAATAATAGTCCTTCTTCCCTGGGCCCGCCACAGAGCACCAGCCTAACAGCCTTGGCCACAGTTGCCTCTCAGAAGAGAAGAGGAATGCTCAGAAGACACAAGAGCCAAGGCCTCTAGCCCTGGAATGGCCAGCTCTTCACCCAACACTCACACTTGGTCAGAACAGCCCCCTCTCATATCTTTTAGTCTTTTATCTTGTCCCCAACACCCAGACCTTCTGAAGACCAAGAGAAGGAGATGATAGCAGGTGACCTGTCCTTGAGTTTTAGGGACAGCCCTGCTACCTTCAGTTCTCAAAGGTCAACCAGGCACAGATTATGGCTTCCTTACCAACAGGGATAATGGAACTAAGGTGTGATCTGTGAAATCCATATCTGCAGAGCAAGAGGAGAGCTGAAGTTGAAACTGAGAACAAAGTCCTGGCCAAGAGGCCCAGAGCATGTCAGAACAGTGTCCATGCAATGACATAAGAGCTGGCCTGCTATGTGCCCCAGGTTACAGGCAGTTGAATAGATGTGGGCAGTTGGACAGGATGCAGCAACCTTTGACTATTTCCTTGGCCTCACTGGGGCCTGGGTTAGAGGCAGAAGCTCCTTCAGGCCACACCTTTGTTTTATAAAATGCCAGTAGGAAGACAGGCCTCTCCTGCCCCAAAGCACAGAACAGAGCCCCTCTCTCAATATTAATTACACTCCAATGAAATGAGGGCATCAGTGTAGAGAGGGAAGAGGTGAGAAGTGGAGGCAACATGGCAGAGAAAGATGGGGACAGCCTTGCACCTTGCATTCTCGTGAGCAGCATAGCTGAGGCTGGGGCCCTCAGCACTGCCATCCCATCATGTCCATCAGGGACATTGCTTAAAACCTGATAGCTGTGAGTCCCCATGTCCAGATGACCTTGGGCACGTGTGTGTGTGTGTGTGTGTGTGTGTGTGTGTGTGTACACAGATGAGGCTGTGTGCTTCTCCTTCATTAATATGTCTCAAAAATCATCACACAGGTGTGAAGAAGGGGGATGGCCTTCAGCTACCAGGTACAGTAAGACACTCTTCAGGGTAGATGGGGCTTTTAGAAATAGCAGTAGCCTTTGACCATTGAGCCTGGGCCCTAGACACCAGCACACAGCTGGAGGAGGCTCCCTGACTGCAGGGGCACTGCCAAACCCTCAGCTGTGCCCCAGGTGATGGCAGTCCCACAGGACAAGCCAGCACCTCATTTTACCTACTTGCTCCTCTGGTGCATCATCCTGGGGGCCAATGCCAATGGCATCGCCAGTGTCTTTACCTGGGCTCAGCCCCACACACATACACTCAGGGCCCCATCACCATGGGACCCTCACAACCCTGCTCCCCTGCACATCCCCCACAGAGCCTGGCTGGTTTCCCCTTACCCACGGTTTGTCCACTTCACCCAGCAGTCTCTTCCCTCTCCTTCCCACAGAACCTGTTCCCCCACCCCAAGAAAAAACACGAGTGAATTTGACCATCTTGTATCATCTTTTAATTTCTAAATTAAGGGAAACTCGCTAGGACCTTCTCAGTCTTGTGCACAGAATGTTTTATGTCGCTTTTTAAATGATGGGAAGTGCTGATTAGAAAGGAGGAGGTGGCCATGGGTGGTGACCTGAGTTAAGGGCATGAATCCTGCTAACTCATTGCCCTCAACAGATGTTTTGCTGGAACAAGAGATGGTGATTATAGCAATACCCATTCGGAATGGCCAGGGCCACAGTGCACCAGTTGTTGAATGTCTTGAATTGACTCTGTGCCATTGGCCCCTCTTATGGGAAGCCAGAACCCCTCTCCTCATAGAACTCTCTCTAACGGGGACCCATACCTGATTGGTTAGGCCAACTGGGTGCATCGGTCTAGGCCTCACCACAGAACAGTGCCATCCCGCCTAACCACATTGATCATCTTCCATGTTTTATTTCAATGACCCTCCATACCTGAGTTTTTTCCCCCCTGACTTCTGTGGCATCTCTATGGGAACATTTCACCCCAACCCCTGGATTTGAGTTTCTTGATCTCCAATGGAGATTTTCTTTGAAGACTATAGTCATGTTACTTGCCACAAATTGGTTCATGTCTTTATTGTTGTTGCTGTTCTGCATTGTTGCTTTTCTCCATTGTGACACACTGCATTTTCCATCCCTCCCACCCCCGCAGCGGCCGATGGTGCGGCAGGTTCAAATGCTGCAGATAGTGCAAATGCCAGCCTAGTCAATGGTACGTCTCCCGTGGCAAGCTCTCGGTCTCGGGTGGATGGGTGTCTTCTCCTCCACCCCCAACTTTGGGCTAGCCTCTCCCTATTCTGGACCGCACAGATCTTGGATGTGCATGGACAGCTCTGGGACAGTCGTCCTCTCACATGGGTCAGGCGCTTAGGAGGGAAGCCACCACCAGTAATCAGCTCCGTGCCCCCTTGTGGCATCAAAATGGCACTGGCTCCTGTGGGGCCTTTGACCACTCCTAAAGAGGAACATGACTTTGGCTTCAGATTTGGCCCCAAGAAGCAATGTCCCACCTGTGTGGCCCTCTCCTAAGTATGTTCCTGGCCCCTGCTTTGGGAAGAAAGCCTGGGGTCAGGACCTGGGCTGAAGCTGGCGACTGGGTCCCCAGCAAAGGCTCCAGTCCTCGACTTTAAAATTGCTCGAGGCTGGGGGACCCAGGCCAAGTTTCAGCTCTTGGTCCCCACCCCATAGCATGGCTGAGCCACCAGTAGACATTTCTTCTCTTCTCTTTCACAGAGCGAATGGGCAAGGGGTTCGCTTGGGCTCAGGCCTGGTCTGTCCCTCAGATGTGGACTGGTGTTTCTTGCTGTTGCCTGTGCTGGAGCATTTGTCCTGGGTCTCTGCATTCTGACTAGCCCCCTTGGGGAGGGAGCTGCCACTGTAGCTGGTCTGTGTCTTACCTCCTCACACGCAGGCAGGGAGGAGTTCCATGAACTTGCCTCCAAGCCTTTAGATTTCTTATGTCTCTTCCCTCTCATCTTCAGAGCGGTGAAGCTTCTGTTACTCAGACAAGTTCCCTGTTCCCAAATTAGGTAGCAAGATAGTCACCCAGGCTGTTTCTCAAGTGCTGAGAGCTGTTAGGGCTCTGTCATGAAGCCAGTGCCCCAGCATTGCTGCATACCAGGCTGAGGGTTTCTCATCCATTGTTTCATTTACTCCTCACCACTCCTAAAAAACATGGAGATCTTGCCCCACCTCATCCTGCCCCAGACCAAAAATGGAAGCACCTCGTAGATGTCAGGGTCTGGCCAAGACACTTCTCCAAGCAGCGTCTTGCCAAGAAGGGCTAATTTGGGTGTGGGTCTATTTCAGGAGCAGGAGGAGAATGCAAGACAGCTTGGGTTGTGGGAGGTGTCATTCGACAGGGAGGGGTGGTGAGGGATGACAGAGAGAAACGTAGGTAAACCCAAAGCCTAGGAAGGAAGGAAACAGGATGTGGCATCCTGCCTCCCCCAGGGCAATGAGCCTGCATCTGGGCTGGCCAGTTCCTAAAAAAGGGCACCTTCACTTCCAAACTGTAGCAGTAAATTCCAAGTACCCCAAGAAAAACTGCAGGAAAGATGGGGAACTGACATTTCTCCACCACCTAGGCACTTCGCAAGCATGTTATGCTTGCCATCTTATTTAATCTTCATGACAATCCTGATACAGAGTTTATTATCCCACTTTAAAGATGAGGAAACTGAGGCTCAAGGTGATCAAAACCCTAGCCCAAGGTCACAGAGCTAGAAAGTAACATAGCTGGGATCTGAACCCGGCCTGGCTGGCTCTAAAGTGAGTGTTACTCTGCTTGATCCAGAATTTCCCAATGGAGTGTGTCTTGAAACTTCACAAGGATAGTAAGAGGTCTTTCCCCCAAGAAAAAGATCCTGTGGTCAAAGATGTTTAAGAACCTCTGGATAGAATTGGTGTCTTCCCTGGCCGCAGGATTCCTCACTGCCTTGAATATGCTGGTGTGTAGTGGCGAATTACAGAGCCATGCAGGGGCTCCCAGTCTGATTTGGCTGGAGGATGTTTTCTGACTTTATCTGTGGGATCGTTATGCCTGCATAATATACTTTGGGAAATAGTGCTCTAAGCCATTGCTCAGAATGCTGTCAGAGGAACAGACGGCTGGGCATTTCCTAGAAGCTTGTTAGAAATGCATAATCTTAGGCCCCACCCCAGACCTACTGAATGAAAATCTGCATCCTGTCAAGCTCTCCAGGATTGGAGAGAGTGCATAGAGGTTGAGAGGTGCGGGGCTGAGGCGTGGTGAGTGAGAGAATTACTGTCCCTTCTCCCTCCCTCCTCTGAGCCAAATCAGGATTGAAAACAAATTAGAGACAAAACAAATTTAGTGGCAGTATTCCCCCTGCCTTTACTCTCCCAAACGCCACCCAACTGAAAGATGATTGGGCTCCATTCATCTTGGAGGCTTATGACTGCCATTATTATTTTATTTTTTATGATTATAAATACAATCACTGTTAAGTACATCTCTTATAATTGTGATAAATAATATATCACTCTTAACTCCAGATGTTTACAGGGCACTTTGTGGTGCTTTTTATAAGTTCACCTTGGTTGAAATTGTTGTATTTCACAGAGAAAGAAATGGAAACACTGGGCAGAAGTGACATCTCCCAGGTCTCCTCATTAGTGGTCTGTCTCCCCAGAGAGGAAGGTCACCTCTCCATGCTTTTCACACTCATGTCCCCAGCGATGCTTGAAGAGAACAGACCCATTTGGCCAAACTGCATCTGGCATCGGATGCAGAGGGGCCTCTTAGTCTCCACCCAGTTCCTCATCTTGGGTCCTGTCCTACATCCCAGCTCCCCTGAAACACAGTCCATCCTCCAGGTCCCACATGGGACCAGAGCTGGCTGTCCCACCACAGTTCAGGGCCAGGCGAGCCCCCGTTTAGCTGAGGAGAACCGCAGTAAGTCCTTTGCTTCTGAGAAATCAGGCCATCTGCACCGGAGCATACTCAGAATACAACTCCCTTCCTCAAACATATGCATTGCTGATTATTTTTCTGGCCACGTGGTCACTGTGGAAATAAAAGAGGAAATTGCTAGCTTGGTTAATGGGCACAGGCACGGGCTATTGCCCCTGATAATATGCAATACAAATAAAGGTCCCTTTGTGCCCTCTGAAAGCAACTACTGAAGCAGAGCCCTCTGGTGCCCAGTTATGTTTTAAAATAAAAATATTTTTTGTAGTTCATTTCTCTTTGCTCTAAAAAGGCCTCTTTCTATTTTGTTTCTTAGTCTGCTAGAAAGAATTTTACAAAAGAGCAACGGGGCCTTTCTCTTTGATCCCAGATGGGCCACTGAGCCTTTGCTGTGAGAAGCAGTGGAGAGAAAGAGAGTGGGGTTGAGGTCTAGGAAGGCCACTGCCCCACCCCAAGTCCCTACAATGGGGTGTGGTGATGGTGATGACACTGTTGATGGAACTAATAACATAGCCCCAGATGCTCTACTATTTGAGAACTGCCTCTAAACGGTCCTTGGTCTTAATTTCCTCAGCTGTAAAATGAATGAGAAAAGCCTGCCTTGCAGGGTGTCAGGAAGACTGACACCTGCACACTGCAAAAGGCTGAATGGGCCAATGATTATTACTAAGGCGCGTTTAGGTGGTCTGGGGGGTGAACCTTGAATCCCCATTTTACAGAGGTAGGAGCAGAGGCTGGGAGAGGAATGCCACAAAGCAAGTTGATATCAAACAGGGGCTTCAGAAGCCCAGTCCCCAGTGCCACCTCAGTGCCCCTCCCCTGGGCTCAGAGGACTAAGAGGTGGCTGGGTGGAAACATGCACACACTTTGGAGCCAGCTCTCCATTTACCCACTGAGACTCAGGCAGGCCTCAGTTTCTCATCGATAAGTGGGTATAAATATAGGAATGTCCTTGTAGGGATGTGGTGAGGACTAGATGACATCATGGAGGTCATGTATGCGCCTGGCACATGGTGGGTTCTTCCAGAACGTGAGCTGTGGGACTCACCTTAGTAGCAAATGTCCTGGAGTAGCTGACCTCCTCAGACTCCTCCAGAGGTGGTGAGGTCTGCATGCAAAGTTCCGGGTGAGCTTAGTGGGCAGGCCTCGTGAAGAGGGTTTGCTCTCTGCAGTGCCAACAGGTGAAGGCAGGTGTCTCAGTCACCAGATAGGAGCCTCCAGCTTCTCCCACCTGCCACACAGCCTACACCTCTAGCTGTGGACAGGGCTTCCCAGGCAGCCCTGATTAAGGGGTGGAAAGCTCTAGACTCAACCTTTCTCCAGCACAAGACAACATCAGACCCTGGTATGCAGGGCCAGGGGTGGGGCACCCATGGGAGCCCACCAACGTGACCTTTCCTATCTAATATTGTCTGAGCTGGCCAACCTCAGAATGAAGAGCACACATCCAAACAGAAAGGAGGTTGGCAGCTTCCCCTGGGAGTTGGGATATTCCCACCAAGACCCCTGGACACACTTGGGGTAACTCAGAGCTCACCCTTTGCATGGGTCACTCTCTGTCAGGCTGGGCATGGGGCTGTCCATGCTGTGGCTTCACCCCCGCCCCCTTCAGAAGGAAAAGGAGAAAGTAGTAGTATGTCTCCTGGAGCCAGGAACCAAGGAACGCATTAACCAAACTATTCCTATGTCCCATTCTCCTCTCTCTCTCTCTCTCTCTCTCTCTCTCTCTCTCTCTCTCTCTCTCTCTCTCATTTTCCTTTGCCTCCTCTCAGCCCACAAAAGGCACCAATCAAATTACTCATGGGAACCTGAGAACTCTCTTCTGCTTCCTGCAAGCCAACCCTGGTCCCTTTTACCCTCAAGGCTGTCCTTAAATCTGTAGGATGCCTAGGGCCAAAATAATTCCCACTGAAGCACTCTCTCCAAGCCCCCAGAGAATCAAGACAGACCTGCAGCCAACGCGCTGGCAGGTTTGCTCTTGTCTCTGAGGCATCCACAGTATCCTGTGTGGAGGGATGGAGTCGGCTTGGCCCTTCCTCCATCTGTGACATGAATGTCCGTGGCCCTGTGGCATCTTTGTGATGACCGATGTGTGTTGTCTGTTCTCTGTTGTCTGTTAAAATTCTTTGTCGTGTAGGTAAAATGCAGGATGGCACTGTGGACACCAGCCAGAGCAAAGGTAACCCTTTTGTATTAACTGGGTCTGTGGTCCCTGTGGCCCCTCCCCAGCAGTTCTGAGGGCTATGCCAGAAGCAGATGCAACTGCAACTATGGGTGCCTGGCGTCTTTGGGGGGTATAGCTGATTCACGTGGCACCAGGCCAACCTGGTGAGGATGGGACACCTGCAAGCCAGCTTCTCCCCAGCCTTTGAGCCCTGCTGCCCGTTTAGCTGAAAACTTGAAGCTGGTTCTTTGAGATCCTTAGGAGATAAGGAATAGGACTTTGGGCCACTAGTTAGTCCTGATCTGAATGAGGAGAGGGCTTGGCACCCATGGATGGGGACACTCTCTTTTACTTTTAAGTCTCTTTTTTTGTCCCTGCTGTCTAATGATTACTTAATATCCCAATGACATGGCCCAAGGACCACTGGGTAAAGCCCAGGCCTGTGTCTTGTTTGAATGTGGGAAAAGCCAGCAGGTCATTGGGAGAAGGCCCAGAGGAGCCTCCAGCCTACTCCTGCTGGGAGTCCAGGGTGAAGCCTTGTCACTCCCTGCTGTGTCCTGGATTCCAGGCCCCAGGCAGGCTGTGGCCCTGGTTGCAGTGTCTCTGGCTGGAACCACCCCCATCTCAGGGCTTCTGTGCCGGCCATGCAGGGGCCCAGGCAGGGAAGTGGGTATTTCACCACACTCCCCCAGGCAGGCAGGGTGAGGGCCAGCATCCCCACCCTGCAAGCTGACCTGTGTGTGTGCATGTCTGTGTGTCTGTGCGTGTCTGTGTGTACACATGTGTGCTCTGCCACTTGCAGCCAAACAGCAGGATGGGGCCGCCGCCATGGAGATGCAGCCCCTCAAGAGTGCTGAGGGTGGTGATGCTGACGACAAGAAGAAGGCCAACATGCACAAGAAGGAGAAATCGGTGCTCCAGGGCAAGCTCACCAAGCTGGCTGTGCAGATCGGCAAGGCAGGTGAGTGTGCAGGGTGTGAGGGGGGGACACACAGTAGGACCCCAGGCAGGGCCCTGCCCCAAGCTGGGCCTCAGTTGCCTCATCTGTAAAGTGGTGGATTGCATGAGATGGTCCCTGAGACACACCCTTCTCCAGCTGAGTCCTTACCCAGTAGGTGCTCAGTTAGCACTTAGAGAGAAGAGTGAAGCTGAAAGCCTGAGCTGTGGGGGCACATGGCCTGTGTTCTTGTCCAGCTAAGGTTGTGAGAACTTAGACAAGTAACTTCCCTAGCTCTGAACTCCTGCCTCCTGGTCTTTGAGACTGGGATGCCCAGTGGTCCCTGCTTCACTGGTTGCTATGAGGATTGAAGGAGATTATGCACAGAGTGTTTAGCACTTGGCAGGTGTAGTGTCTAGAGAGAGGGAAGGTCCTGCCGGGCCTGAAGTTTGCAGGCGTTACCCTGAAGACAGTGGTGGCCATGGAAGAGATTTGATCAGGGGATGGCAGGAATGCATTTTGGACTCTATAATGAGCACCCCAGCTGCAAGGTACAGGAAAAATTCAAGAGGTTGGGAGCAGTGCCAGGATCCCCAGCACAACAAGCTGGGCTTCCCAGCTGAGTTGGTAGCTGCAGGTGAAGGTTGGTGACAGGGAAGCGAGCCCAGCTGCAAGGTGAACCCTGCCCATCTGACATGGCCTTGGACTCCCCTTCTGGGTAAGGACGTGGAAAACACCAAGGCCTCCCCACCTGGCTGCTTGCTCCTCCGTGGCTGTCTCCCTGCTCTAATTATAGGCACGGCAGTGTGGAGAAGGGAGGCAAATTACAGGCTTGGCTGTCTATATTTAAATTCGGGGTCCTGGTGACAGCTCCCGGCTGCTGGGAGCTTGGCTTCCCGCCCCTGGCGACTGTCAGAGAGGGATAGAGCCGGCTCTGAGGCTCCGCAGCTGGAGGGGGTGGGGAACAATGGGCACAGAGATTTCCTCCATCCCCACCATGGAGAAGACTCCCAGGAAACATGGCACTGCGCGGCAGGGAGAACAACATTGTGGCTTTCGAAGTCCTCGCTCATCTCCCTCCCCTCCTTGGCCCTGCCAAGGATGGAGTTCAGAGTCTAGTGCTTCAGAGTTTGCATCTCACCTCTGCTTCTCTCTTGGGTTGGATCCCCTGAAAGCAGAGCTGAAGATGGGTGGGCTTGGGATTTTGGGAGGGGGTGCACACAGGTGAGACATATAAAAAGTAAAGGTCAAGATAGGGCTAAGGAAGAAACCAGAAAACAGCTGAGGTTTCGGGGGCTGGGAGGCGGGGGGGGGGGCAGGAATCCCAGTCTCCACCTGCTCCATGGGGAACGCTGGAGCAGAGGCCCTCTGCAGGGTCTGTTCCACCTTGTAGCGAGGGCAGGTGTGTTGGACCCCCCCAAATCGCCATTGGATCTTGATCATCCAGTTGGAATGGAGTGCATTCCCAGGCACTTCCTGAGGACACTCCTATCACCCAAGAGCAATTCTCCTCGGCAGAGGCACCTGAACAGCAGCTAAGGCACCGAAACTGCCAAAGGGTTCACGGGAGGAGCGGGCGGGGCATAAAACAGCCACCTGCATTTGCTAATTCTACCACGCCTCCCTGGCCTGGGGCCTGGGGCAAGTCACATTCCCTCTGTTTTCTCATCCAAAAAAGGGCCCCCAACTGTTTCCTCTGTTGGGAACTCTCTTCACCCAAGTCCTCACCTGACTGCTTCTTCTCATCATTCACCTGTCTGTCATCACCTCCTCCAGAAAGTCTTCTCTGGCCACCCTAGCTTAAATAGCCTCTCCCTACCTGCCCATGTCATTTCTTTTTTTAGCTATATTGAGATATAATTTATAGGTAAAAAATAACACACATTTAATGTGTACAGCTTAATGAGTTTGAACTTATGCAAACACCTGTGAGACCATCACCACAATCAAGATACTAAATATATCCACCATCTCCAAACATTTCCTTGTGACCTTTTGTAGTTTCGGAGGGTTTAGGGGGGGGTAGTGATTTTTTGTAAAACAACTTAACAGATCTATCCTCTTAACCAGTTTTGAAGTGTACAACACCACACTGTCACTACAGGCACCGTGTCGCACAGTAGAGCTCTAGAACATACTCCTCTTGCCTAACTGAAACTTTATACCCACTGAAAAACAACCCCTGCTTCCCCTCTCCCCTCTGCCCCTGGCAGCCACCCTTCTATGCTCTGCTGCGGAGGAGTTTGCCGTTTTAGATTCCTCATACAAGTCCTTTTCTGTCCGCCTTACCTCACTCAGCAGCATATCCTCCACGTCCATCCATGTTGTCACAAACGGCAGGATTTCCTTCTTTTCAATATCCCATTGTATGTATGCTCCACATTTCCTTGATCTTCATCCGGTCAATGGGCAGTTAGGTTGTTTTCCTATCTTCGGCCCCTGCCAGGATCTAGCATGTCATCTGGAGTCTTCTTCACAGCATTATCTGTCTCTGAATTGTCTTGTTTGTGTTTGTGACCCATCTGCCTTCACCTCTAGACTGTCAGCTTCCCAAGGGCAGGGACTCTGTCTGCTTTATTGCCATGTCCCTAGTGCCTGAATGAATGTGTCAATAAATGGCACCGACTGCACATCATTATTGTGTGAGAGCACCATCCAAGCAGTTCTTATTTATTCGCATGGTCACTCAGCACACATTTCTTGAGCACCTACTATGTGTCGGGCACTGTCCTAGGCACTTTACATGCAGTGATCGCATTTGATCCTCACAAAACCATGTGAAATAAATATGCATCCCCATTGTATAGAGGAGCAACAAAGCAAATAAGTGGCAGAGCTGGGATATAAGCTAGGGTTGGCCTGACCCCAGAGCCCTTTTGGCCAAGGGTTCGGTCCACCTCTCACTCCCCAGGGCCCCCCGACCCTCAGGATTGCCCCTGAGCAGGTCCCTCCCACCCCGTGTTGCAGGCTTGGTGATGTCGGCCATCACGGTGATCATCCTGGTGCTCTACTTCACCGTGGACACCTTCGTGGTCAACAAGAAGCCATGGCTGCCCGAGTGCACACCCGTCTACGTGCAGTACTTCGTCAAGTTCTTCATCATTGGTGTGACGGTGCTGGTGGTGGCCGTGCCCGAGGGGCTCCCTCTAGCCGTCACCATCTCGCTGGCCTACTCTGTGAAGGTGAGCTGTGGAGAGCAGGACCAGCCAGCTGGGGGTGTGTGGGGGGCCCAGGGGCCATTGCAGGGGTTGAGAGAAGAGCTAAGAAGAAGGGAATGGTCACATGAAAAGCTCACAGAGAAGATGTAAATGGGAACCCAAACTCACCTGCCTTCAGGGGCCTGTGGCAAACTGGAGAGCCACACCCTAGCTAAAGGGACAACCGTTATTCAGCCCAGCCAGTGTCACCTTGTGGGGACACGGGCCCAGTGTTGCCAGATCTTTACTTCCCCCCCTCCCCCCTCAAGAGAAGCCAGAAATCTGAATTTAATATAAACTCCCCTTATTTTTAAACATTGACAATCAATGCAACTTTAAACAAAAAAATAAAATGCAGACATCACCGTGCAGGCCCAAATCCATTGCACCCATCAGGTGGTGGCAGAAGTCCAGCCGTCCCAGGCACAGGCCCCACCATAGCCTTAGTGCATACATGACTACTAATCTCAGAGCTCATTTCCTAAATAAGACTAAAATAAAAAGGATGTCTAACTTTAGGAAAGCCCCCTCCTCTCAGGATTTGGGCTGAAAATACAAGGTTTTAAAAGCCATTCAGTGAGGGCAGGTGGGCCCTTTTGTGTTGACTGCTGCCCTGATGGCACAGCCCCACCACCCCTGCACCCAGGCCCATGGCCATCTTCACAGCCTGAGCCTGGAACGGAGTGGGCTAGTATCCCCGTGGGCACTGCACCCCCAGCCCTCTGCAGGGCACCTCCAGCCTGGCTCACCCCCAGGTCCTCACACGCTGCGCTCATCCTCTCTCCTTGGCCTGTGGTTTCCACACTGCGGGCGGAGGGCTGCACTCCCCTTTCCCAGGGCCCCGATGCCAGGATGACCCGCAGGGGTGGAGGCCTGAGCGTGTTGATAAGTAAGGCATTCGCTCTGAGACATTGGCAGAGCCGCCGGAGGGCACAGAGAGCGTCAGTTTCCAAGCTGGAATTTGGGCTGGGCTCACCGATGTAATTTCATACAGAAAAGAGATCTCTAGGCAGGTGCCAGAAAGTGGCAGCGCTGTGTAAAGGATACGGCCCTTCTCACCTCCCTGTGTTAGGGCTCTCAGAGAAACTCCATCCCACAAACCAGAGCCCAAACAGGTCACAACCCGATGCTCCAGGGCCAGGGTCCTGGAGATGCAGGTGCTCACACAGCCACGAGTCAGGACCCTCACACTCCCAGCTGAGCTCGGGTGGAAGGGGTGGGGCCTCCTTGGAAGTCCTTACAGAGTTGCTTTGGGGGAATTACGTACAGACAGTTTTAGGCCTCCGCACCTTCTGCAGTTTGTATCTCTGGCACCTGGTGCCTTTAGCCGTATTAGATAATGTTACTTATACAGTCGCTTGATAGACTTGGGACAGCACCCCAACCCAGCAAAAGCACACTCTCCCCTCTCTGAGCCTGGACTTAGCCCCCGGAAGCCACTATCCAAAGAAAAGAGATGATCACTTAAATCAGCACTGTCGAAGAGAGATCTAGTGTAAGCCACAAGTGTGATTTTAAATTTCCCAGTAGCCATGTTAAAAAAAAAAAAAATTAAAGAAACAGGCAAAATTAATTTTAATAACATAATTCACTTAACTCCATATGGCCAAATTATTATCAAGCCAACATATAATCAATATAATGAATTATTACTTGAGATCTATTTTAGACTTTTTTCACAATAAGTGTTTAAAACTATATGTGTATTTTAGACTTACAGCACATTTCAGACCAGCCACCTTTCCAGGGCTCAATAGCCACATGTGGCTACTGTATTGGATAGCACAGGCCTCGGCATTTTTAAGCCCAGAAGACAAACCTTCTTCAGCGAGAACAGATGGGCACAAGCCCTCTCAAGGGCCAGCGTCCTGGAGATGGAATGATCCAGACTGGCAGGTTAAACAGAGCTAGGCACAAATCCCAGCTCTAACCCTCGCTAGGTGTGTGCACCTGGTCACGTCACTTTGCCATGTCTTCAATTGCCAAGAATCCTCCCAGGTTTCACGGATTCTTATATCATCAGGCAAGAAAATAAGTGCAGAAGAACTTTGCAAACTATAAAGTATGTTGCAAAGTCAAACTGCTGTAGGTCATCCATTCAACATACTTTTATTGCTACAGTTACCACAGGTTACAATAAGAGAAACTGCAGTAGTTATATTATCCCAACAACATTCATCCTGGCCTATGGTTTCCACACTGTGGGCAGAGGGCCCCGATGCCAGGATGGCCCTGCAAGGGTGGCGGCCTAAGCATGTTGATAAGTAAGGTATTCGCTCTGAGACACTGGCATTAAAGGTATCTGATTGCACTCTCTTTTGAATCCTCCTGTTATAAAGAGTTACAATGAGGAGAAAGAATAAAAGAAATCAAATTCCTAGTTTCAGGCAAGAACTACAGCTGAGTCAGCAACTTTTACTCCAGCAACATTTCGTGTCCCTCCTTGCCTTTTGGTCACTATTATGGAGGGACTGCTTGAAGCAGGATGGTTCTAGAGAATTACTTTCTTTGCATTACTTGCTTAAGAACCTGGAAGAAGCTAGGAGTGTGAACCTGGGAAGAGAGAAAGAGAGGTGAATACATTAGAAACTTAATAATAAGCCCTAACCGGTTTGGCTTAGTGGATAGAGCGTCGGCCTGCTCACTCGAGGTTTCCATGTTCAATTCCGGTCAAGGTATGTATCTTGGTGGTGGGCACATACCCAGTAGGGGGTGTGCAGGAGGCAGCTCATTGATGTTTCTAACTCTATCCTTCTGCCTTCCTCTCTGTAAAAAATCAATAAAATATATATTTTTAAAATAATAATAATACGTATAATAGGATTCCATTTTTGTTATGAATTGAATTTTTTTTTTTAAAAAGGATGTTGATGTGTGGGGTGTATCAGTTATGTGTGGTAACATTATGGCTGAAATGTTTTCTTTTTATGAGTCTATAATTTTTAAAAATTTGTGATTTTTATCATGCAGGGTGTATTTCTTGTGGAAAAATAAAATCTATAGACTTTTTAAAAAGACAATAAAAATCTCCTATAGTTCTACCACCCAAAGATAATGATACTAATATTTTATATTGTTCCAGATATTGTCCTATGTCTGTAAATACACATATCCCCCAAATGTATTTACTTTTAGCGAAACCAAAGTGACAGTGAAAATCAGGAACCAGTGAAAGATGGTACATTTGAGAACATTCATAATGAATAAAAAATAGTTATATTAAGGTGTCAGAGAAAAATACTTGAAGTAATCAGAGAGGGCCCAATCTTAATTTATCCTTATCCTTATTTTTTCATAAAGAATGTAGATTACTTCTGTAATTGAAATTAATAGAATCAATTAATCAACTTTTTTATCTTTTTTAATCCTTACCCAAGGACATGCTTTTATTGATTTTAGAGAGCTAGGAAGAGAGGGAAGGGAGGGAGGGGAAAAGGGAGAGAGGAAGGGAGGGAGAGAAAGAAACATACATCAATGTGAGAGTAAAACATCAATCAGCTGCCTTGACTGGGGATCGAACCCACAACCTGGATACGTGCCCTGACTGGGAATCAAACCCGTGACCTTTCAGTGTATAAGAGGACACTCCAACTGAGCCAGACTGGCCAGGGCAATCAATCCTTTTGAATGGCTCAGCTAATAAAAGGGAGGGAAAGGGTGGCACACACAAAGGAGCCCAGGTGTCCGAGGCCTTAGAAACCATGATCCTTTGCATGTGTAAAAGCAAAGGGACAGACTGTGGCAGCCCTTCCTCTTTTACCTCGTGTTCACCCAGTGCCCCCGGCACCCCAGCATCCCATCTCTCTCTTCTCACTGTCACCCTCTCACATGCCCCTCCCCCAGAAAATGATGAAGGACAACAACCTGGTACGCCACCTGGATGCCTGTGAGACCATGGGCAATGCCACAGCCATCTGCTCAGACAAGACGGGCACGCTGACCACCAATCGCATGACAGTAGTGCAGGCTTACCTTGGTGATGTTCACTATAAGGAGATCCCGGACCCCAGCTCCATCAATGCCAAGACCATGGAGCTGCTGGTCCATGCCATTGCCATCAACAGCGCCTACACCACCAAGATTCTGGTAAGTGGTATAGTCTCCTCTACAGAAAGCCATCTCCATGGGGGATGCAGAAGTACTGGGCAGGTTCAGCAACATCTTTCATATTTCTAAATCCTGCTGATGTATTTTCATGTGATCAGATAGTAAGTGACTTGATTCTCTTTGACTTAACTTCTATGTTTGTATGACCAAAAATACAGGGTGGGGCAAAAGTAAGTTTGCAATTATGTGTACATGAGACACATAGTTTATTCTTGTATTATTTATTAGTTATTGTGAGGCGAACGTGATAACCACTACACTACGGAAATGCGGTTATTTATTAGTTATTGTATTATTTTCATACAAACAACTGTAAACCTACTTTTGCCCCACCCTGTGTGTGTGTGTGTGTATTTATTTTAAAAAAAAAAAAAAAACACTTTGTTTTTTTATTATTAGTGCCTTTATTGGGGTGACATTGGTTAATAAAATTATATAGGTTTCAAGTGTATAATTCTATAATATATCATCAGTATATTGTGTGTTCACCACCCAAAGTCACATCTCTTTGCATCATCATTTATTCCCCTTTACTGTCTTTTTAAAATCTTGTCATTGCCCACCCTCTGAAAGAATCGTTTTAAAAAAACATTTTTTAATTAGTCAGCTTTTGCTACATAACAAACTACTCTAAGACTTCCTGGCTCAAATCAAAACTATATTTATCTCACAATTCTGTGAGTCAACAATTCAAACCGGGCTTAGCTGGGTGATTCTTCTGGTCTCGGTGGGGCTAATCTTGGCAGGACTGGAGGCTGATGGGAATGGTCTCTGCTGGATGGCTCATCTCTGCTCTTTGTGATCGGCCCCACTTCCTCCAGGCTTGTCTGTTGTTAAATAATATAAATCCAACTGAGTAAAATTTAAATATGTTTCTGGTTTATGAAATGGTTCATGAACTGGACAGTACTCAATATAGCAAATAGAAAGGAGCTCTGAGGAGCTGTACAAAATTGAAGGCTTTTATAGGTAAAGAGGGGAAAGAGTGGATTGTTTCAGGCATAGGTAACCTACTTTTGGGATCAGAAGGGTGAATTCCCTTACTAGTGCTCACCAGGAAATTCCAGATTGACTTGTTAAGATTAAATTCCTGGGAGAGGCTGAAACTGCCATTAGGTTAGGCATTAAGTATTGGTTTGATGATGTGGATTTAGCAAAAAGGACTCCATTTGGGGCCTCTTGCCTCTTTTCTAGCAATTACCCCTTTGACCAGACTCTCAGCTTAACTGAGAGGTGTGATAAAACTTTAGGGCATTCACCACTCTCAGCTACCACTTTGTATTTCTCACAGTTTTTACTGACCTTCTGTGTGGTTCAAAGGTCATGGATGAATTTCTGTGGTATTCACAGGCCATAACTTTAGGTTCATAATTTTGAAGTCAGTCACCTCTCCTCTTTCCTTTTCTGGTGATCCAGTCCTAAGAAGATCATCTGCTTGGTTAGTGGCTGCAAGCATGGACTTAAAGCCTTTGAGAGAGTGCAACATGCCAGGGAGACTACTGTGACTATGATGAACAGGGTAATTCCCAGTATCTAGAGTATGCTTTGTAGCCATGGCCCCCAAGATCTAAAACAATTAAAATCAAATAAGTCAAAGGAATTCCCCACTGAAGGTATCACCCTTTTTAAGCCAAGTAGCTGCTCCATGGTCTTATGTAATTGAGTTTCAACTTCCTCATAAGTGTTAACCCAGGTGCAATAGGTGGTGTTGGCCACAGTTTATAGACACCTTCCTGCTCAGCTAAAAGCTGGTAGGAGACTATTATCAGGAACATCTTTAGCCAGAAAGTCTAGGGTTTTTCTTGGGTAGCTATCATCTTAGCAGTGGATTCTGCAATATCCTCAAGAGTTTAGGAGAGGTTTCTAATCATAACCTCATTTACATTTACTCCTAACCAGGGATGGAGATCCCTCCCAAAGGAAGTGACCCCTGAGTTATGAACGCCTTCTGGTTGGTCCTTTCTAACTCAACAATGCAAGTTCAGTGGAGCTGACCAATGAGGTGTCCCACTTTGTTTTGTAAACAGTTAGGGGCTTAATTAGATAACCTAAGAAGTGTTACCCAGTTGTGTGCCAGCCATCGAAGCATTCATAGGCCCAAGGAAAATGATGACTGCCACAGACAAAGAAAAATCCTGTCAGAGCTCAAACTATTTCCACTTCCTAATGGATTCATTTCGCAGGGAGTGTTAACACTTGCCTATTCAAGCCAGGGGTCACTTAGGTTTTCAGGGCGTTCTGGAAGTAAATCTCCCAGCGGGAAACAAAGAGTTGTTTCACACTCCAGAGGTTATCCCTCTTAGCAATGTCCAGGGAGGTATGGATTATGGCGTTACCTTTCCAGGCCAATGCCAGAGTAACGGAATGAAAGAGAAGAGAGGGTTTCATGCTTAAAGTATGAAGTCTTGACCCATCATCTTCAGAGAAAACAGTCTACATGGATGTCAGCTAATTCTCTTCCTAATCAATTTGATGTGGAGTCTCCAGCATTTGTGCAGGACCAGATGTCAGGTGGAGCCTTCATTAGCGCAAGATGTGTTTACAAGGCTCGAGTCCCTGAGGTCAGCCTGCCACCTGGATAGTGAGGAGGACCTGGGGTAGTCCTTTCCCAGAAGATTTAAGGGCAGTATTTATTCTTAGTGATTCCAAATAAGAAGGTGGGAGAAAATTGGAAACATTAGTTTGAATACAGGTAGCCAAATTTTTTTAGAAAACTAGCAGAATTTAAGTTCCAATCCAGTTTACAGGCATATAACAAAACCTCAGAGACAATTGACTTTGCTTGGTTGGTGGCAAGGATAAGAATCTAATACAAAGATGAAAAAAAAAAAAAAATTCTCCCTACAGTTATCTCATTTCTCTTTTCCAAAAATAATCACAGCAAAACTAATTTGTTTGCATTAGACTTGGCCTGATTATTTACATAAGTACAGCAAGAATAGTGGTTGCTTTGCTGGAAACTTGTAAGCAAAGTACCAAGGAGTTTTTCCAAGGGGACTTATTGGCCTTAAAATCATCTGGTCAGTCCTGACCGGTGTAGCTCAGTGCATAGAGCATCTGCCTGCAGACTGAAGGATCCGGGGTTCAATTCCTGGTCCAAGGCATGTACGTTGGTTGTGGGCACATCCCCAGTAGGGGGTGTGCAGGAGGCAACTGATCGATGTTTCTCTCTCATGGATGTTTCTAACTCTCCCTCTCCCTTCTTCTCTGTAAAAAAATCAATAAAATATATATATTTTTAAAAATCATCTGGTAAGCCCTAGCTGGTTTAGCTCAATGGATAGAGCATAGGCATGTGGACTGAAGGGTCTTAGGTTCAATTCTGGTAAGGGCACATACCTCGATGCAGGGTCGATCCTGGTCAGGGCTGTGCAGGAGGCAACCAATCCATATTTCTCTCTTACGTCAATGTTTCTCTCTGTCTCTCTCCTCCCTTTCACTCTCTCTAAAAATAAATTGGAAAATATCCTCAGGTGAGGATTAATCAAAAAACAAAAATCATCTGTTCATATCTTAAGTCTATGCACTTCTTTCTCAAATGTGATAGTCTAGTCAAAGCCTTAGTAATATAACCAATATTTCCCACTGTATCCTGTTACAAGAACAAATTGTCATTGGACTTAGCTATGTTGTCATGAAAAGAATACTCAAGAGTTTCACAATTCTGAAGAAATAAGGTAGGGGATAAAAAATAAATGTTTCATCTTTGTTTATATAGATATATCTTGCCAAATTATTGATAGCTAAAGAGAAAAAATTTTCCTTCCGGGCTAGCATGGCTTAGTGGTTGAGTGTCATCCTATGAACTAGGAGGTCACGGTTCAATTCCTGTTCAGGCCACATGCCCGGGTTGCAGGCTCAATCCCCAGCGTGGGGCATGCAGGAGGCAGCCAATCAATGATTCTTTCTTATCATTGATGTTTCTCTCTCTCCCTCTCCCTTCCTCTCTGAAATCAATTTAAAAAAAAAAAAAAAAATTAGGAGAGAAAAGGTTTCCTTAAGACCGATAAAGCAAATGCCGAAACCGGTTTGGCTCAGTGGATAGAGCGTCGGCCTGCAGACTGAAGGGTCCCGGTTTTAATTCCGATCAAGGGCATGTACTTGGTTGCGGGCACATCCCCAGTGGGGGGTGTGCAGGAGGCAGCTGATCGATATTTCTCTCACATCGATATTTCTAACTCTATCTCTCTCCCTTCCTCTCTGTAAGAAACCAATAAAATATATTTTTTAAAAAGATTGGTAAAGCAAAACATTAGAGAACCATCGATGCTTCAAACAAGAATTCAAAAATTTTCATTCTCCTCCTCAGTTCATTCAGTCCTGTGTTAATAATTCTTAGTTCTGCTTGAATCCAGTTTTTCCAGAAATTCTTACCCAGTTCATTTTAAGATCGTAAAGTCATCAGAGAACTGTACTAGTCAAAGTTTTTTATGAATCTCCTCCAAGAGGAAGCACTTTCTCAGGAACACGTTTCTAAAAGCACCAGAGTAAAACAATAGCTCTCTGTAATGACCAGGCTCCTTAAATGCCCTTATTCAAGATCTAAAAAGAGCTCATTATAATGGAATTGACAAGGAAATTTGGTTATCTCTGCAATATATAACAATTTAACATGGTAACAGGAATTATTATATAACTGATGACATCACACCAGGACATATCAGATTTCCAAGAATTTAACACAATTTTTGGAACACTTATAGCATATACCCATTCAGATACAACATAAAGAAGTCTTGGTATTACTTCTTCTTTTACAGTGAGTGCTTCCCATATGACTTAACACATCAAATAAGCCTAATTAGTTTGTCTCCTTTTTTATAAAGAGAGAGAACACTTCTTTTGAGATGTTTCAAGGACCCTCTGGAAAATCCCAAAGTTAATTCAAAGTCAAAAAGAATTCATTTAGAATTTGATTTGGGGGAAATTTGTTAAAAATACCAAAAAAAAAAAAATTTTTTTTCAAACACTGGTTAAAT